ACTAGGAATGTTATAAAGCGCCTATATAGGACAGCTTCTTTTGTATATTATCTGACTTTATAAACAACAACAACAATGTGCTTCTATTTTTTTTTCAGGCTAAATCTACCCAAGACATTGGCTGTCAGACTGATTTAGTAGTCTGCAAGAATGCACTTGTCCAGGCTGACGTGAAGCCTTACCGGCGTAGCAAAGGTGAATTATTTTTAATAATCGTCTATGTAAACATTTTATTATCACCTTCTAGTTATAATTTGTTTTGCAGATTATTGTTACACGTGATTTTATGCTCTTTTAAACATTTATAAATGTGCTGCTTCTTTGTTTTTTATATAGCCACCCAGTTTAGAGCTCCCAGCTGCTGTGTGTCTGGTGACACAGGGACCATGATGGAAATTCATCTTCCAGAAAGTCTGGCTCATCATTTAGCCAGATTTCTAAGGTATAGGCCAAAAATGTTTAGGTTAGTTTTGATAAGGTCTGTGCATCTCTCATTTCATGACGTAACTTCTCATATTTTAGTTCCTGGGTGCCTTCAATGTGCAGGGACTGTCCAAGCAGACATTCTGTCGACATCAGGCAAAGCTGTTAATTCCAACAGTGAGCTGGCAGTGGCAGCTAGAGCAAGCTGATATCATCCAGGAGGCTACTGAATCTGGACCTGTGACTCTTGGTGGTGACATGCGAGCTGATTCACCTGGTGAATACGTTTACATTTACTTATTTTATTCCTTTGCTATCAAATGTAAACTAAGTAATAATTTGCATTTCTGAAGGACACTCAGCCAAATATGGCAGCTACACCATGATGGATCTCAAAAGAAACAAAGTTATTGATATCCAACTCGTACAGGTACAACATTACCTGATGATTCCAATACATTTCATGGTTAATTATTCACAGATCAATGGAGAGTTATGTTTATTTTCAGAGCAATGAAGTTGGAAATAGTGTGCGAATGGAGAAGGAGGGATTTGTGCGAAGTCTGAGCACGCTTTTGGAGAGGGGGGTCGATGTGCAGCAAGTCGTGACTGACCGCCACACATGGGTGCAGAAGTGTTTGCGGGAGGAAACAAAGGAAATCAGTCACTACTTTGACCCCTGGCACATGGGAAAAGGTAATCTTTGGGGATGTATATAGTGAATATTACAGGATTTTTTTTTCCTATTTTAAATGTGGGTCTGTTTGGCTCTCCAGGAATTGGTAAGAAAATCGAAGAGCTGGGGAAGAGAAAGACGACCCAGGATGTGAGACTGTGGAAGCAAAGTGTGGTGAACCACCTCTACTGGTCAGCATCCAGTTCCTCCTCAGGACAGGAGGCAGTTGCAAAGTGGACTTCAGTCGCCAACCACATCCAAAATGTGCACAGCCATGACAACGCCCTGTTCCCTAGCTGTCTGCATGCACCTCTGGATGGAGAACAGGCAAGACAGTGGCTCAAGCCAAGTAAGTGTAGCATGTACTCATTACAGCTGAGCCTTTACTGTTTGGTTTCTTTACATTTAAAACACGTCACCCCACAACAGAATATTTGTCTTCACCTCCTTCAACATGGAGAAATATTTTTGGAGCATGAGAGTTACAGACGTCACATGTAGCTACTAAGGTCACACACCACCATTTGGCCAACAGCAATTAATTACTAAGAATAAAATGTTGTGCAGAAATTTCACAAGAGTGCACCACAAAACTCATGGTTTTAGGCAGAACAGCCATAATTGACATAATATGTACTAAAATGCCGTAAGTAATGACCACATCCGTCTATAGCACTATTAGTCACTCTTTCATACATTTGTCATCTAAAAATGTCAGCTATGGGTAACTTTTTCTCAATGAAATAATAGCAACATTCTAAAGTTGATCAAATTGTAATTTATGTAATTAACATTTTCAACGCAGGCACAGCATCATGTGAGAAGCTCCACGGTTTGTGAAGGACGTAGAGAAGATAAGCCCTCAGTACCACACGTCCACCTTGGAGGCTTTCCACAGCATCATCATCAGATTTACTCCAAAAAGTCAGGTCTTCTCCTTCAAATGAATGCTGTCTAGGTAATGAATACAACAAATGGTCAAATTAATGCCTCTAATTGTTTAAATTTTAGCATGAAATGTAGAATTTTGCCTAAAATCTACATGGTTTGTTTATTTGATTATTTCAGATTACAAATTGCTGCAATGCACTATAATGAAATGCAGCACGCTCACATGCAGCAACAGCAACTGGTGAGCTGAGATATGCTGTAGTGTACCCAAAGTACAAACGTGGAGACTACACAGTGAGAGCCCTGAAGACCAATCCAACCTCATGTATGTCATATATTGTATGATAAAACCAAAATGATGTCATGGAGAGCTATTGTAATACTGAAAACCCTTTTCCAGTATATGTGCACAAGCTTATGGATCTGCTGTTCGACTCTGTGGTGGTGGATCCTCTCCCATATCAGGAGTACTCGGACAAAATTCCGGTTCCAGAACCTCTCTGTGCCCAGTTCCAAAGACCAGACAAACGGGATGCTGTGAGCAGGCACAGGTCCAGGTTTTAAAGTGCACGTAAGGTGAGCTACACAACAAGAAATTGTAATTATTAGTTAGTCCTCTACTCTGTGTGGTTTTTCCTTCTCTCCTCCTCAGCCAGGCTGCTCACCACTGTACGACAGAGTAGTTACCTGACAACTCCTCTAATGTGGCTATAACAGAAGGTGCATCCTCACACCTGTAACCATCATCTCATCTGGCAGGAGAACAAAAACAGCTGGTGGACAGTCACTCATCTGTATTTTGTTGTTTTTCAATAAAGAATGCCAAATTGTTTAAGTTTATGTTTTTTTTAGCACACAATATCTATCTGTAAAAAATATCTACAAAGCTAATATTTACATAACAAGTATGATTGGGTTTTGCAATACAGCACTCTGTTTATTTTAGTAAGATGTTTAAACCAAGTAAAGTTAGTAAAGAACACATTTCTATTGGCTGCTAAGAAACTGCTGGACTTAAAACAGGCCTGTTGTAGAAACAACTTGGCATAAATTATTCTTCCTTTTTTGTCTTAACCAAAGAAATTCCAGTAATTGAGCAAAAACATTTATTTTTTTTACGTCACATTTTATAAAATAACAGGACACAAAGTGTCGGTACATTTAAAAAATACTTAAAATAATAAAAGGGGCCCAGAGAGCTGCAGAGTGAGTGGAACATCGGGTTGTGAAGGAAGAACAGTTCTCAACAGTGTGATATGAGGGAGTAGAAGGTGAAGCCAGTGCAGGTCCTCCTTCATGTTCACCAGATTCACACTGCTGACCACCCAATGTCATTGCCGCCACAGTGGATGAGAAGGACATCAGGAGCTGCTCTTCCATGCATGGAGTTGAAAAAGAAGGGGAGAAGGTCTTTCCACCTCAGTCCGTCCCAACCGAACCAGGAGACACGGACGTCAGGGAGGCCAAGGTTGTCTGAGGGTCTCTGCAGCTCTCTGGGCACCACGCCTCACTCAGCTGTCACCGATGATCCAACTGGCTATGGAGAAAAAAAATAACAGGTTTGGCCTAGCTGTTTAAAGTACAAAACCATACATGAAGTGGTCAAGACAAGTACTTGGAACTTACACTTGCTGCGTTGTGTAGCTGGTGTTGGAGACACACAGGCTGCCATGGTGACCTTTTAACACATCTAAGAAAAAAATGTAATAAAAGAATGAAACTTAAAAACTCCCAGACCTCATTTCATGATTGCTAATCAGCTATGGCTCATTTATTGTTTGGATCACAGTGAGTTACACTAATTCTAATATATTTTTATTTCTATTATACATACATACATTTTAACTGTTATTTTCACATGACTGTTATCAGGCTGTCTTGTTCTGGATCTCATGATAATTCTGTTTCTTCCAGTAAGTTATCTTGTGCTTACTTCATCTGTATAATGCCTCTTTACTTTTGGTGAATTGTACTGAGTCCAGAATAAAGGCTACTTGGCTGTACAAGATACAAACAAGTCTTGGAAATATATGAAATGTATTTAGCCTGCTAATTTATCTCAAATGCTAATAACTACCGTATTTTCCGGACTATAAATCACACTTTTTTTTACATAGTCTGGCCGGTCCAGCTACTCCGGAGCGACTTATATAACAAAACATGTAGGCTACACGGCGCTGCTGCGGGCCGACTCCAACCCAAGAATGAGTTCCCCTGTCCCGCTGGGAGGGTTTCAAAACACCGCCTTCCTCTGCTGGAGACCGTGGCGCGCTGCTGCGGCGCATTATTCGGTTATTGTTACCGGTACTTGTCTTACAATGTGAAACGCTTGGTCTCAGATTTTGTAAGAAAAATAAAATTTCCCCCCAAAATACGACTTATATGTTTTTTTCTTCTTTATTATACATTTAATGGCTGGTGCGACTCAGGAGCGACTTAATAGTCCTGAAAATACGGTACGTAATAAATAGTGAAAACTTGCTCAAAGCAAAATATATTTTCATTACGGAAATAACAAAAAAACTTACCGATTTAATATTTTTTTTATTCACAGAAAGGTACTTCTCATGAAAAAGCGCCGCAAACCTCCACCTGAACTCCATGTGGTCGATGGGTGTTCCACAGAGTTAGCTCCGGTTGTAGCTAGGTGGCTACATCCGTTAGCTCGGCTCCCACCTCCGCGTTAGCTTTGGGTTAGCCAGGGTTAGCTTCAGGTTAGCTTGTAGCTAGTTCGATCGGGTGTCATCAGTTGATCCCAGCCTTACAGCCCCACCCTCAGCTTCACCTCTCTTCCCTTTTTTGGAATTGTCTGGGCTTGATGGAACCTGTGACACAATCAAAATGACGGTGGTGGCCACCTCCCATTTGGCCTCAAAAACGTGATATTTGAGCCTATGGAAAGGAATTGTCCAGTATATTTATGTCGATGGAACCACTTAAACATTCTCCCTCTTCTGATAATAACATTTTACTCTCTTTGACATTGAATGTGCTACTACTAGTTTGCCCGTTTAATTATAGATTCACTAGGATAAATACAATAAAGTTTATCTCTCACCAAATTTCTAAGAAATCCCAATGTAACCATAGAAACACTACTTGATACATATGGTGTGTGTGTGTGTGTGTGTGTGTGTGTGTGTGTGTGTGTGTGTGTGTGTGTGTGTGTGTGTGTGTGTGTGTGTGTCAGACTGGTCGGCTGGATTTGGGAGTTGAGCTTGTAGGGAGCGTGGTTTCACAGACACAGAAGTGAGAGCGTTGGTGAAACGCCGGCTCACGATTTAATCTAGGAAACCCCCGAGCGTTCGAGCGTCAACGAAGTGACACGGAAATGCCGGGCTTTCCAGAAGTAAGTAAGATAACTTACTATGAGCTGATAGTTTGTGGGATGGATCGGTAGGTTGGAAACTCTGATCATGAATCTGAAGAAACGATGACTGAGTGGTGAGCTGGAAAGGCGACTTCCGTTTATAGCCGCGATTTGTGACGTAGGTGCGACGTGGAGGGAATCCCCGCGAGGGGCATGCTGGGAGTTGTGGTCCATAGTGGAGGCCGGCTAGCTGGAAGAGGCTGGCCTGGGAACTTGGGTTCTGACAGTGTGTGTGTGTCTGCTCTGTCTTCACCATCCCCAGTGAGTCGTGGAGGATGGCTGCTTATACTGAGCAAGGATCCTCTGGAGGTTTCTTCCTGTTAAAAGGGAGTTTTCCCTCTCCACTGTCGCTGCATGCTTCCTTAGTATGAGGAGTGCTAGTCAGTGACTCGATGCAACCTGCTGGGTTCCTGGAAACTTTTTTCTGATTGGCTTAATGAACTGGGGCCTCGTTTATCAAGCTTGCTCACACACAAAACGGGATCGGAAAACTGCGTAAGCAACTTCCCATGCAAACTTTGAGATTTATGAAAGAAAACGTAGCGGAGAAATGTGTGCAATGTTTTGGACATAGAGAGCAGCTGCAGTGCTGCTGCTGAGAGGGATAAAATTATGTAATCCTACAGCGTTATCACTTGTACTGCTTCGTGTTCACGCAGAACAGACCCCCCCCCCCCCCCACATGCACACACATGCGCGCATACACACACACACACACACACACACACAAACAGCCAGAAGCGCAGAATACGGTATGCAGAATATCAGCAGGGAGACAGATTGAGACAGAATGTCATGTGTCTGTGACAGTGTGTGTGTCCTGTCACTGTGACCCGATTGATCATGCGCCCTGGCTAGTTGGACAAGGGAGATCTCTGTTTGGCTGACTGGTTGGAGCGTGTGTGTCATGATTCTGCTGTTTTTTTCCCTCTGAGTCTCTTTGCAGGTGGGCGTATCGGAGAGCCTCAGCTGTTGCTGATTTCCCATCAGCAAGGCCAGGGGATTTAAGTAGTGCTGTGTCCACACTCCAGCGCTGGTTGATACTCTCACCTGGGTAGCTTCTAGCCTCGTGCTGAACTTTGTAAGATTCTGCAATCTTGTCCTGCTTATCCTGTTCTTTAATTGCCTGTCCTGCCTCCATAGCAACCACTGGATCTCAGCCTGAGTTTTCTGCTTCCCTGGAGTGTGTTCATCTACATCGTCACTCATCTCCCCTGCCATCTGCTCTCCGCCGTCCACCTGCCCTGGATCCCCGTCAGCCACATCACCCCTGCCTCATCCCACTCCTCCTGTCATGCTGTGGTAAGAGCTTTCACCCAGGACATGAAGAATCACATGAGAGGGATGGTGAGTAAAAAGTAAAATGGTTTATTTACAATGAGTGAAATACAAAAGAGGCAAAACTAAACTAAAGGCGCTGCTTCAGATCAGGATCAGGAGGAGACCGGAATCTACGGGGACATAAGCAGAAGGTGAGCGAGACCAGAACCAGAGAACCAGGAGATAGGAGTCTGTGACTGAGAAAGTTCTTACGGTCAGGAATCTGAACCAGAGCGGAGGCGAACTGAGGAAGGTCGGACCAGATGAGGAGTTCAGAGCGTGAGGCAGGCGGGCAGACATGGAGAGAGGAGTCCAGAGGATCCTTAAGCGACGAGACGTGGGAACAACTCCAGGCAAGGTAGGTGAAGCAGGTACAGGATACTAGAACAGAGTTCAAAGTTATAAAAATGGAATCAAGAAACAGAGCAGGCAGGTTCAGAGGCTAGAGACTACCCATGTGAGAGTATCAACCGGCACTGGAGTTGAGTCACACCGCTCCTTAAATCCTCTGTCCCTCAATTAGTAAAACTCCAAACAGGTGTGCCATCTGCCGCGCCTAACTGCAACACAAAACAGAAAATCCACCAGTAGGTGGAGGCAAACCGTGACACCTCCATCGACCAGACCTGACCTACCCTCTCCTCACATCCATCCTCTGTTCTGGCTCTGTAAGAATTCCCTTCCCTCTGTTTATATCTGGTTCTCTCGTTCCTGGTTTGACCTCCGTGTGTTTTTTTTATCTTTAGACCCCGGCCCGATTCCCGCTTCGTTGAAGTTGTGCCATTAGTTCCCGTTGGTTTTTCCAGCACCCGTTTGGAGCTGCTTCCTCTGTTTATTTATTCATTTAATAAAACTAGATCCGTATTTCTTACCTCCTGCCTGTGGTGATTCTTTCATGTGGGTCAAGAAGCTTCCTGCAATCATGACAGTGTGACATTCATCTTGGAGTCTGGGGATCAAATCCTGATTGGACCATTTTTTTATATCCGCCACAGATCTCTCTGAAGAACTCAACATTGACGGCTTCAGCAACGCTGTGCCACTCCGTGGATTTTCTCTTATTTGTTTTGCAAAAGCACTTCCTTTCATTTCTCCACCTCACCCACAAGTACCTCAATTTCTGCTTCTGTGAAATTGCGCTTCCTTGATCTGCCTTGGTCTACAGTCGCCGTGTCATTGGTGGAGCGCTGCAACAGCCGGCTTATGTATATGCATGAGGTCCACAAGGCACTTTGCATTGACTATTAATGGCAGTAAGTGGGCGTGGTGAGGGTGGGATGTGACTAAAATGCAGCTGAGAACCTTTCTCGTTAGTTTCTGATTTATGAAGCGGAGATTGCGTGCAGCTGTGCATACTCCATGTTTGATAGATCACAAACCTACTTGGTGTAAGTACATTTTTTTTGCTGAGCTTAAGTACGGTTTTAGTAAGGATTCTACCAATGTTTGATAAATGAGACCCCAGAGCTGTATTGGAATGTTTATTATGTGAAGTGCCTTGAGACGACTCTGGTTGTGATTTGGCGCTTAATAAAAAAAACTTCAATTGAATTGAAGATGAATGTGTTGGTCAGATCCAGTGCACCATGGCCTGCTACCATTAGCAGTAATGCTTTTTCAGCTTTCGGTTCTCAAAAACACTACCAGTGAACTTCAGTTCATCTGGTGGGTGGGCATTCATTTTATACATCTCTGTAGGTCAAATTTAGAAGAAGAAGAAGATAAAGCAATCTTTATACAACACCTCTCAAGATACTGTGATGGACTTGCACTCTGTCCAGGCTGTACCCCGCCCGATTGGCCATTGACCACTGGAGATAGGCACCAGCCCCCCCGCGACCCTACGTGGACAAGCAGGTTCTGAAAATGGATGGATGGACCTCCAAGATAAAAATCACGAGAAGCTTCACAAGAAGAAAAATAAAATGATTAAGAAATATTGCAGTATAAACTGTGGAAAAAGAAAATTTTAGATAAAAAATGTGAAGGAAGAAAACGAATTATAAAAAGGTTATACAGGACTGGAGAACAACAGAACTGGCAGAAACAGCAGCATGAAATTAGGCAGAGCGACAGGGACCATGGAAATGCGGCGGCTGGACGTAACAACCCAACAGATGAGCACTTTTTAAAAACAACAGATACTCCAACATCTAAAAAACCCCTCATTTTTTCATATTGGCTTGAAACTTTTGCACTAAACATCAGGATGAATCCCATAGATTTCTATGCTGGGCTGAGCCCCCGACGTTTACAAATCCTACCCACGCCTCTGGGCTTACTTTTGCTAAAGGATGCACGAGACCAGAGGGGGGCATCTGGAGGGAACAAGCCCCGCCCCCGCAGAGCTCAGACCTCAGTTCACTGAGCATGCGCTTCCATTCCTCCGTCCTGCCGCGGTACCGACGGTACACGCTAGCCCCGCCCCCGCAGAGCTCAGACCTCAGTTCACTGAGCATGCGCTTCCATTCCTCCGTCCTGCCGCGGTACCGACGGTACACGCTGTTCTGCTGCTGTCTCTGGACCGGTAAGTCCTCTCCGTGTGTCTGTCAGCAGCACGCATCTGTCCTCGTCGTGTTGTCTGTGCGCGTGGGTATCAGCAGCTGGAGGAACATGTTGTGTTGGGTTGCGCCACAGCCAGTCAGCATTAATATTAATCAGAGTTGAACGAGCCAGAAAGATCCAGTCAGAACCAGATTTGTTTCCGATGGGAAAGTTAAATAAACGGACACGTGCGAAGCAGCGAGCGCTGTAAACTTCTGTTTGTGTTGCCTCGGCCCCCTGGGCTCTTGCTGGACGTCCACCCATCATCATCATCATCAACATCACACACCCGAGCTCACTGCTTTCTGCTAGTGGGAGGTGATCAGGTATGCAGCCAGATAAGGATGAGATCTCTGTTACTGGGATGACCGCAGCTGCACACTCATCCATTCACGTCATCATTCTGGCTGCTAGATAAATGCTGATGTTTTCCTTCAGGTTAATGTTTTATCACTCACTGTTGCTGCATGCATGCATTTGAACACTACTCGTGGGAAGCTCCTGGGGTTGTGTTAAAAGTAGGTTCCTAGCAAAGCACTGTCTAGACACACGCTGCTCTTTCCTCCCTAAAGTACCACGAGCCACTACAGCTCTGTTACACAGATGTACCAGGGGAGCTGAACTAGACTAAGCCTGTTCTGGAGCCACATCAATACTAAAAAGGTAAAATAATGTAAAACTCCTCCAAGCAGTAGTAGTCAGTCCAAAAAAATGGTTTATTCACCTATCAGGAAGATGTCACTCAAAAGTTTAAAGCTAACATTTGGATGAGAACAGGGACTATGAAAGACACATCTGAGGGAAGGTTTGAATTTTAAATGTTTTTGGTGGTCTATTATGTTTGCATGAACACAAGATGTGCTTTGAACCAACTATGTTCTATTTCGTCTAGTCTTAGCCCTTAAGCTAACTGCTATTGGAAGGATGATCTCAGCATCAGCCAATCATGAAGAGCTTAAATGTACGCCCACCAATGGTGGGCACCCCTTGTGGGTATATAAGTGGAGCGACTCCACTGTTTGCCTCCGTTATTTCTTCAAGCCAAGCTTAAGAGCTTCCTTTAAAGAGCAATATTATCCAGAAACATTCAACTCACCGACCATGTCCAGCGACGCCAGGACCTGCCCGGCCTGCCAGACGGGCTCCATCTCCAGCGGCGACCTGCACGCCAAGTGTGAGGTCTGTCTCGGGGCTCATCACGCTGGCCTGGCCTTGACCCCCCAGGCCTCGTGCCCCTTTTGTGCCGCTCTGCCCGTGGCTGAAAAAATCCGCCGAGGAATTTCCGGTGGCTGACACGTACTCACTGGACAAGGCCTTGGACTTCTTCAACATCGGTCAGGAGCCGGCTGGCTTCAACCGACGGGACGACGTCATCGACAGTGAGGAGTACGACGAGGCTGGCTACCATAGCCCTTCTTCCCTCCTGTGCAAAACGGAGGTCGACGAACCTCGCTCAGCGGGTCCTTCTGCCCCAGTGGCTTCTCGCTCCTCCCTGCCAACAGTAAGAGCACTGCTCCAGGAGCTGCCCGCCATCATCTCCGCGGCTGCGGTCCGCAAGGGGCTGGCTGTGCCAGAACCGGCTCCGCCTGAAGCGGATGATTTGGCGGGAATTTTCGGGGCAACACAGACGCTCTGTCCAGACCCCATCTGACCGCGCTTTCCCGCTGCTATGAGCTGCTGGTCCGCCGCCTTCTCCGAGCCTGCCAAGCTCAAGGCGCCAGTTTCCACATATGCACCCATTACCAAGGTCGTGGTCTTCTCCGACCAAGGCTGGCCATCCGTTCCTCCACTGGAGCCGGACTTGACCTCGCTGTTTGGCGCCAAGAACCACCTTGCTGGCCCGCGAGCAGTTCCCGCTTCTAAACATGACCAGCTGCTGACGCGGCTCACCGACCGCGCACAGCAGTGCGCCTTCCAGACCGGCGCTGCAGGAAATAAAATCGCCCTTCTTGCCTTTGGCATTTCCAAAATGGTGGAAGAGCTTGACGCTCCTGACAAGTCAAAACCATCATTACCAAGACTGCTGATGCCGTTCTCAATCTGTGCGCTGCTGTACTCACCGGTTCTGCTCGCATTGCTGCCTGGCAGACCCTTATTCAGCAGGCCCTGTGGCTCAAGGCCCTGCCCTCCATTCCTGAACACCTGCACAGGGAGATGCTGGAAAGCCCCATCACCTCTGACATTCTGTTTGGTCCCCATCTTAGGAGCGTCATCGAGAGGGCGCAGAAGACAGCTGAACTGTCAGCTACGGTGCGAGACCTGGTCCACCCTCGGTCAGCCTCGCACTCCGGCCGTTCCTCCAGAGGATGGGACGAACGACGCGGAAACTTCAGGCGCCCAACTGCACCGCCCGCCTCGCGGAGCCGGTCTCCCGCTTCGGCTCCACCTCAGCGGGGCCAGAGAGTTGGCAGCCAACGGTTCCGAAAGAGCCAGCAGACACCGTCTTGGCAGTCACAGGCGCAGGAACCTCGCCGAAAGCAAGCACGAAAATGACTCATTGGGGGGGAATGTGTGTGCTTATGACTGTAATGTTGATGATGTTGGTTTTGAAATAAAACCCAAAAAATGTCACTTAGAGAGCACAGTCCTACAGTCCTCTGCAGAATCCTCTGCCGAATCCTCGCACACGTTCCCCACACCAAGCACTGAGACACATCTGCATGTTCACGCAGTCAGTCATATTACGCGGCCAGCTGTGCGGGTGCGCTCCATTCGCGCACCGGCCCCAGCCTCTGGCCAGGCCCAACTCATTCTGCTTCCCCCACAACGTAGGGTGGGACGGGATGTCACGGCGCTGTCGCGACCGCGCTCAGTGACACAGTGCGCGGCTCCATCCGCTGGCATTTTGTCGTACCCGTTCACGGGCCCGGCTCCCACTCATCCTTGGACTCCACTCTCCGCGGTGCGGATCAGCTTCCTCCGGCTGTTCCACACTCGCCCTTTCGAGCGCAGCCCTCCATGGTTCACTCCCAGTTCTCTGGTGCGAGCGATGGCGGTAAGGGCGCGAACCCAGTCCTCAGGCGTTGTTCACGTGACCTCGAACATGCGTCCGCTGTCGGAACGCGCACACGAGTGGCGCCGCCTTTGTCTCATGAGCAAATGGATATCGGAGACCATTCATTGCGGTCACACACTCCATTTTCAGTCCGCTCCTCCTCCCTTCAACGCGATCATGGAGACGACGTTCACATCACAGGTACAGTCTAAGGCCCTGTTTCTAGAGCTGCGGGAACTTCTGTCCAAGGACGCAATTTCCCAAGCCCCTCGCGGACAAGAGCTCTCAGGCTTCTACTCCCGCTACTTCGTAGTACCAAAGAAGTCGGGAAGAATGAGACCAATTCTCGACCTTTCCCTGTTTAACTGCTCCATAGCAGTGATGCATTTCTGCATGTTAACAATGAGGCAAGTCCTGGAATACGTGCGCTCCGGGGACTGGTTCACGTCAATAGACCTGAAAGACCCATACGTCCACATCCCAGTAATTCCCAAGCTCCGGAATTTCCTGCGCTTTTCATTTCAGGGAGTTCAATACCAGTTCAATCGTCTCCCTTTCGGCTACTCGCTAGCCCCGCGCACCTTCTCCAAATGTCTGGAGACCAAGCTGCAGCCACTGCACACGGTGGGAATGAGGGTTTTATTTTACCTGGACGATCTGCTCCTATGCGCCCGGTTCAAGGACGAGGCGTCAGAGCAAACCAGGAAGTTAATAGAGCATCTGTCAACCCTGGGGTTTTCCATAAACTGGGAGAGGAGCTCCATCCTTCCATTCCAGTCGATTGTGTTTCTCAGGGTGGAGCTGAACGCCTCTCTAATGGGAGCACGTTTGTCTCCAGCGAAAGCGGCAGATCTCACCACGGTGATCTCCCGCGTGCAACCCCGCAAGATCGTGAGAGCCCAGTTACTCATGAAACTTCTGGGCATGATGGCTGCAGCCCACGCTGTGGTGCCGCTAGGTTTACTGCACAAGAGGCCCCTGCAGCGTTGGTTCTTCCGCCTCCGGGTACACCCGATACGTCAGAAGAGACGTATGTTGAGGGTTTCCCCTTCAGGGGGCGGGGACCTCGCTCACTGGGGGAATCCTTGCATCCCCTCACACGGGGTCTCCATCGGACGTCCTACGTCACACGTATCTGTGTTTACGGATGCGTCACTGTTGGGATTGGGGGGGGGGGGGCACGTGCTTGTCCCATACGGTGGCAGATCGCTGGCCCTCCCACACGCACAAGCACATAAATGTGTTGGAGCTTATGATAGTGAGGAATGTGATCAGACACTTCGCTGCCCTTCTCGAGGGCCGTCACGTTGAAGTTCACACAGCCAACCAGGTGGCGGCTGCCTACATAAATCGCCAATGGGGAGTTCGGTCCCTCCCACTATTGCGCGTAGCCACAGATTTGCTGTGTTGGGCACATGTCCACCAGCTGTCCAGCAAAGCCACCTAAATTCCGGGGGTCTTGAATGTGGCAGCAGACGTCCTGTCGAGAAGGGGACCCTGCGACTCTGACTGGCGTCTGCATCCCGCACTGATATCACAGATCTGGATCAGGTTCGGAGAACCATCTGTGGATCTGCTCGCAGCTCGCGAAAACGCTCAGTGTCGCCTGTGGTTTTCCCTGAGTCCCCGGGACCACCCTCCGCGCGGAGCGGACGCCTTCTCTCACCAGCCCTGGCCTCATATGCTCCTATATTCGTTTTCCGCCAGTCCCACTGATTCCCCGTCTCCTGGACCGAGTTCGGTCAGAGCGGCTCTCAGTAATTCTGGTGGCTCCCAGACGCTTGTCCGCGTCATGGGTTCCAGACCTGCAAGCGCTACTGTCCGGCTCCCCGTGGAGGGCGGACGCCCTTCTCCAGGCGGATGGGATAATCAAACATCCTCACGGAATAGGCCAACGGCTGTGGGTCTGGCCGCTGAGCGGTCATGCTTAGGGGCTTCTGGCCTGCCGCATGATGTGGTCGCCACGATTCAGAGTGCGCGGGCGCCCT